TTGTCCTCCCCAAATAATTATCTACTTCTCTCTTAAAAGTTGCCATGTTGTCGGAAGACCCAGGTTTGAGAATTTGCTAATCACCGGTTTCTCGTGTGAGCCACAGAGAGGGACCTGCAGAGCAGAGTGCAGTGTATTCCTGTGGTGGCAGGGCACAATTCATCGTATTCCTGCTTGGTGTGAATCAAGGCACAAGTTACAAAAATGAATACATTTTTTAAAAAAAAATGCCCATTCCCTGTGTCAAACCTGGATTGTACAACACATATACACTCTGTCCAATGTTTCCTCTGCCCACTGTTACTGAGTAGAGGAGACATTGCGAGTGTGTGTGTGTTGAGCATTTATACCTGTGAATTGATGATATGCAAGCTGATGAATTCTGTACCACTGGAGTGAAGTTGGTGCTTCAGATATACATTTACTGGTCCTCTGTATTAACAAGTAAAGTGCTTCTATGTTTTCCAGTTTATTGTTGAAAATTGAATTTTTTTTTGAAAATGTTACTTTTGATGTTGCTTAGTATTGTAGCTTATAGTGACCTTGGTTGACTGTACCAGGTAATAGTGATGCCTGTTATATTTGAACACGTTTTGGGTTTACCATTGTTTTTGCTCAACCATTCAGAACCAATATGAAGACTCCAATTGAGCTTTCCCATGTATCCTATTTCCATATACCATTGCCACAGCTGTTTTCACCGATACTGACTGCCTGCATCAACAAACAGCTTGCTCCATTTACACAAAACACATAACATAAAAGTCTCCATTAAGTGGCGAGCATTTGTGCTGAAGCACAGATAGAAAGAGAGGGAGAAAAACACACATTACACCTCACTTGATTAACCACACTGAATAGACGAGATCCAGCCAAGTGTATAATAGTAAGCGAAAAAAATCAATACATTTTGTACATATTATTCACCAGTGTGCACTGAGCACAGATATGTTTTTGATTGGGAAAATAGGACTGATACATACATATAATGGGTCAATAAATACCACAATTTTGGCAAGCCACATATTTTGGAGATGCATCTGGGAGTGTTACAATTTCATAGCCCATATTTTGAAGTTAGTCGCTACAAGCTATTTGTTGCTGTTGACATATTTCCAGTCAAACTCTACCAATTTGAACTTCTGTACGTAAATTATTTTCACTTTGCACAAAAATACAAGAGAACACATTGCTTTCACTTCTGCCTACCAACAAAACCAAGTCTGAGGCTGTGGCAATACTGCATCTAAGCAACTGTGAAAGTACAAGACCTAGTCAGCAAAAACAAGGAAACAGATTTTCTTTCATGTCATTTCACTGTATGTGTCTCACTCGATAAATGACTGCTGAGGAAATGTGTGCACTGCAATTGGCCAAAGCAGCCCTGAGCATTCACAACAGATCTAGGACACTTCTAACAAAATACTTTTCTCCCTTTGGAAATTGTGCAACAAGACTGGATATTTAAAAATAATCCTATTTTATAGGGGGTGAGAATTATCACATCAAATTTGGTTGGAAAACATTGGATTATTTTACCCCTTATTATTAAACTGCAAGCACAATATAATAAATTGATCAACTGTGTGGCAGAGGAAGTGAACGGAACATTAGAGGTAGAACCACAGGTTACTCAAATCTTTTTGGTTTATTTTACAACCCAGCTGAGATCAACTCTCACTGTTCTGGGAGGGGCGAATACTCCGCTGTGTTCTACCATGTTGCAATGTGGAAAATCGTGCTTCTGCCAATCCCCCACAGGCAGAACTCTCAATTTTGGCTGCGCTGTCGTGTGGAGGTGCCAATTGAAAGCAGGCAGTCTGAAGGGAGAAGGAATAGTCAGGATTCCCTGGCGATTCTTTTGCACAATTCCTAGTGGCCAACTTGGTCGATCGGCAAAAAGTGGGGATTTGCCCAATCTTTCAACGGGGAATGCTGTGCATTCAGTGGAGGATCTAACAAGAAAGCAGAAAATTAAAGGAATAGGAATTCAGCAAAAGATAAATTGAGGCATTATTTGTTAATTTATTCAAATTGTTTTTGAATAAACTTATTTAAGAAAATAGATTTTGAATATCCTCAGCTACCAGTACTGTGGTTCTCTTTTAAAAAAAGATGTTTTCAATGTTCACTGCATAAACAAACAAACTACTTGTTGACAAATGTCTTTTTAGTTCTGTATTCTGAGTAATTTGGTTCTGAATTTTAAAGTTTATCTGGTTTGAAAAGGCTTAGCTTATTTTGTAAGCACTTAAGAGATTTTCTCAACTGTGATTGCAATTTCACAAGAAAAAAATAATTTCATATATCTTTTGTTCATCCTGGATCCTATATTATTTGGGTTACTTTGAGTGCACAAACAATCTATGCCTAATTATTGCTGTGTTGTTAGAACGGATTATAACGCTGGTCCCCAGTGGTTGGGATGTTATGCTTAGAAGTCAGTCCTACTGATCAAACAGTCGACCACAGAATATAGTTATTTCTTTCCTTTAGAAAGTTGTTGAACCTTGGACTGCTGCTCAGCTGGGAAGTAGGGAAAATTAGAGAAATGTAGTTGTTTTCACAATGTGTGGTCCACAGTAAAGCCAAAAATTTATTGAAACAACATTACACCCTATATCTAGCCCCTCGATCAACCCTGTCGATTGCATCCTCTGAGACATGGCTTGCTGTTGGAGAGTTAAGTGTGCACAGGCAGAGCAGCCTTTTGTACCCACAGCTTGAGATATCAAATATTCCTTTGTGTAGACAAACTGACTACTAAGGCACAAACTATTACACCATTAATGTAATTGCATTTTAGTCCAGTTATGACAGCCTTATTTTCACTTTACAGGTTTTGCACTGATAGAACCTTCTGCCTCACTTACTCAGTGTAGGCAGAAATATGATGGACCAGCACTAATAAGCTTTACATTTGATTTAGCACTTTACCATGTCTTTGAGACCTCAAAACACTTCACTGGATTTTTATCGTGTAGTGACTGTATTTTGTAGGCAAACTCAGCAACCAAATTGCAAAGAAACAATGACACTTAAATAACTCCTAGAGAGATCTATTGTTTGCTTTTTCTGTGATGTCTTTATCTGATGTCCATTATTCTACTTTTGATTATACCACAAAGAACCAAATGGGACAGGTATGCAGGCTTATCTGGATTCTAAAATGCAGATGCTAATAGAGATCATAATACCACACAGGGCTAAATACAGATTTTTTTTGGCAATGACTTGTGCAATTAAGAACAGTTGTGCATAATTGCACAACTGAACAATCTTCCTAGTTGCAGTTCAGTTAGTTAAACTTGTAAAGTTTGCAGGTTGCTCAGTTGTCTGTGATAAATGCTTCCGAAATATAACAACAAACAGCATGGGGAGTAGGCGTTCAGATTATATTTGGAAAATTTGCCTACAAAATACATAATCGCTACAGGTTTTAGTAAATCCTGCGTTGTGAGACGCCCTTCCCATGTGAAATGCAAGGATTATTATTATTATTATTAAAATGGTATAAAATTACTACTGTTCTGGATATGGCGTCGAATTTCTTTTGTTTGATTAATGGTAGTGTTGCCCCCTGCTTGGCTATTTGGTGTTGTGAAGCTACTTTTTGAACATTCCTGGCAGCAGAACGAGGAAATGACAGCATGGGAGGAGGGCTATACCGCCTCCAGGGCCGCATTATCTGCATTGGCAATTCTTGACAGGTAGCAATACAAGATGATTTCCTTGTCTCCAGCTCATCCATGCCAGCACAGCCTGAAATTCCTGCACTGCCAAAGGGTGGGTGGGGGTGGGGTTGGGGGGACAAAAAATTTACCACTGTGCTTTTGTATCCCTAAGCAACACTGGTGCTGCACATCATCATATTACATTGATAGCAACACAACGGGAGGAGAGCGTTGCCCAGAATGTGATGTTAATGTTGGCCAGGCAATATGGAATTCAGCATTGCAAGAGAACTGATACACAGAATTTTATATAACAAAGTGGAGCGCTGTGCCATAAGTGTTCCTTCTCCTATTCATACATCTCTCAACTCCTTCTCAGCTTCTTTGTTCAAATGCCTGTAAGCCATAATTCAAATAAATTGGTTCACATTAAACGCCTCCTTTCCTTGTGGGGAATAAAGCATTTTATGAAACATTATGTCAGGAGAGACATTTACCTAAGGGAAGATGTCCAAAGAACTAAATGCAATCTAAGCTGCAAAAATAAAGTAAGCAGAACACAGTCCACCTCCATAGTTGGCAAATGTGCTGGCCTATTGAGACAATTCAATGAATTTTTCAATAGTGCTTTCTGTTCCCGTATATTAATACGTTAAATCAAATATATTGTTGATGTAAAATTAAATCAAAATCAGTTTTCTAATTTTGTTTAATTACATTAAATGCAACTTAACTTGCAAAATAGTTTTGGCCACGTTCCCTACTTGAGAAGAAATCAAACCCCTTTAATAAATGATGCTCCCAAGTGCACTTGCTAACCATTCGATTGACAGCTGGCATTATTCCTGGAGAACAAGAACACTTTGTTGTTTAAAAAAAGGTAACAGGTGAAAGTTCACAGCCCCTTATTAAAACTGTTACAACCTTTGAAGGAGGTACAACACTTCCCTCTCATTTTCTTGTACAATAAAATAGGTTTGTGTGTTTGTATAAGTAATATAGAAAACACCATTCACATTTCCACAGTAGTTTGCCATAATCTCACAAGAGCTTGTACACCAGCATAACATTTAAATTTCTCACTTCATCTATTATTGCAATCTCTCATGTTACTGACATTATTTTCAACTTGTGTTAATTTTTTTGGGTTATGAAAGAAAAAAATATGCAGCATATATCGTTTTGATGTCTGACTTAAATTGTGTAATTACTGAAAACAGTTTTGAAATGATTGTAAAGTTAAATTGAGTTGACAATTTATGTATTATCTAAATTGTAGCTCATTGTTCTACAGCTTCTAAATCCTCTGTTTACAATGTCATGCAGCTGCTGCCACATTTGAAGATTTCCAGATTCGACCACACACCTTGTTTGTCCATTCCTACCGAGCCCCTGCATTCTGTGATCATTGCGGAGAGATGCTTTGGGGATTAGTACGGCAGGGTCTCAAATGTGAAGGTAAGTGAAAGTACTCTGTTATGACAAACAATTCCCATCCGGAAGAGAAATGTGATGCAGTAAATATATTACACAGTTTATCTTCTTTATTCTACCCCTTCCCACAAACCTGGGAGTTCTACATATATGGTGTCATTTATCTTCCTTATTCATTCCTTCTTGCTGATTTTTTGCTGCCTCAATTGTATTCACAACTGTAAATGTACTTGTCCCAAAGAAGACTTAAGAGAAATAATATTTGGTGGGTTTGAGGTTCTGCTTATGTTTCTAAACCACTCGAGCTCTGCTCTTGTGGTTTTTTTCTGCCTTTCGATCTACTCAGTTCAGTTAGTGCCTTTTAATGCGCTGTCAGCCATCTATTATTGTGTTGAAGAGAAAAAGATTTTGACACATCTTCAGAAATCCCATTTTCCCCCTTCACAAAACAAACAAAGAAATCTAAGTGCCTCACTGCTCTAATAGCATACCTGGCTGTTTTTCTGCCCTATAATAATAGATCTTGCAGCATAATTTGTGCCAATCCTGTGACTCCACCTAGGCCTCTTACAGCCTTCAGTGGCTAATGGTAGGTAAGGACAGGGCTACTCAAGCTCATTACCTTTGCTGCTTTCTGAAAATCACTAGAATGATGGATATTGATGGGAGGATAAAAAAAGTAAATAGTTTTTGTTAACCAAAAAAGAGGAAAAAAAAGCAAAAAAAGTTACAAAGAGAGGAGAGGAAAATTGTTTTGAGCTCGTAGTCTTCCAGGCTAACTCTCCAATACAGTGCTAAGGAGTGTGCTGAAGCGTTACACTGAAAATAGAAGGGAGATCCTCACAATGTCCTGGTCAATAATAATAATAATATTTGCATTCAATATAGTACCTTATGTCTCAAAGCGCTTCACAGTCTCCCCAGATACAATTGGTCACTTATTTTGTGGGACATTGATGTCCATTCAAATTGGCTACCATTTTTGCCTACAAAATACAGGTATGGCACTCTGTAATAAATCCTGTGAAGCACTTTGAGACGTTTTGATGATGTATAACATGCTGTATCAAATGCAAGGATTATTATTACATGAGAAGGAGCAACAAGACTTAAAACTTACCTCCCCCTAACGGAGTTCAAGTAAAGGTTTCAGACATGAGAAGGGAATGATCACCTATTCAGTTAAGAAAAATTGTCTCCCATTAAAAGATTTCTGAGGTGGAAATGAAGGATTTTCTTCTGGAAACACTGGAAGCAATTCCACCCCCCAATTAAAATACTAATAAATTGGTTACTCAATCCACGGCTGTTTGTGGGACATTGATGTGCGTAATTGGCTGCAGTGTTTTGCCCACAAAATATTCAGTCAATTCACTTTAATCTTCTTGTTGTTTACAATATATTCTGTGAAGGGCTTTGAACCATCTCAAAGACGTGATAAGGCACTATTGCAAACTCAAGGATTATTATTATTATCACTCCCCCCAAAAGCATCCTTAGTTAGTTTTCTTCTGTCACCAACAGTAGTTGAGCAAGATCTGCTGTGTCTGACTCTTTTCTGACAAAACACTGGTCTTTTGTGGCAATGTTAGGCTCGACTTTTATTGTTGCCTTCAATAACAGTGCAGCATCAATTATATTATTGTTGCTGTATTTCAGCACTTGTGCCAACTACACAACATTCCTCTATATTGCTGGCAGCTGCAAATGATGCTTCTATCAACCGTTCTTCCTTCTGGAAATCTGTGCAGGCTTTTAAAGGAGAATGACCAACAAGAGGTTCAAATGGTTATCAACCATCATCCAGGCAGAGCATGAAGTCGACAAGTAGATTTAATGCACCTGCACAAGATTCTGGCTTCTCTTCCAAAAGTTTTGGAAGCAAATCTCGTATCCACTGAAACTTTCTGGTCAAAATACAAGTTGAGCAGACCGCTTAAGTTAGCAACCAAGGATACCACCACCATACAGCGCTGTGGGCCAGTAACAAGGAGAAAGCAGAGTTGATTAATTCTGTACTTGATCCTGACACACCAGCATTTCTGATCATTGCCTCTATGCTTTGATGCTATGACATTGAGCACTGCATTTCATCATCATAATGATAATTTTCTAAGAGTTTGTTCAGTTTTCTTGATTGTACAACTGATGATAGTCTGGATGTTTGGACACTATTTGTCAATGTTATCAGTAAAGTTGTCCGTTAGCAATGGGCAGAGATTAGAATCACATACATTCTAAAGTTTCAAAGATGTAGTCATGTGAATTATATAATGTTTGAGGTTCGGTTGTTATCGACAGCGATCATAAGCCAGACCATCCAAACTGTGTCCCTTATGTATTCACTACCAGTTACCATTCTCAAAGGCACAAGCGTCAGGCTGATTCCAGTCAGTCACCTTGCCTTGATTGAACAATTCCTTACCAACGCCTTGCACGGTTTGACCACAACACTGATTTTTCCAATCTATGGAAGGGAACAAAGAGAAGGATATTTCCACATCAGACCAGGAAGTGGCTATGTTAGAGAAATTCAGGCCTGTTATGTAAAATAGTTGTGTGGTCATAATGTTTGACTTGGGCATGGAAATGTATGATCTATTCAAAGAAAACTGGTTGGGTGCTTTTATTATACAAATACAAATCAATCTTTAATATGTCACTAGTTTATAAACAGGAAGTGTGATTCATATCACATTCAGTTCTAACATTTACTTGCACTTCATTTATGAAATAGTAAGAACATGAACAATAACAGTTAATTCTCCATCAAGACACACGTTCACACAAAGAATGTAAAAGTATTTGGAATTGTTACATTCATAAGTTTTGGATAAAGGGTTTTGTAACGCTCTCCTCCATCCTCCACACATCTCACTGTTGTTCAGATAACTCCAAATAACAAACTTGTTATTGCTAAATGTGCTCAGGTTTATAAAGTATTCTTTCATTTGGCATTCTTATAAGTATGGTTGAGACCTGTTAAATTGAAAGCAACAGGAATTAAATAATTACATTTAAAAAAAAGTACGGTTATAAAACTGCTCAACTCTATTGACAGTGGGTATAAAATATGCTGGAATTGTTAGTTTTGGAAATATGTAATTGTAAAATAAACAATTGCATTTCATATGGCAGGGTGATGGTAGATACTGTAGTTTGTGTTCTTGCAGAATACATTTAAACCTTTCTCATTCTTTTCATGAAGAGGAGAGCTGACAGTGGAGACTTAGTAGAAACCTTCAACATGTAAACTTACTCATTCATCAATCACCTCCAGATACATTGTGGATCAGCTGGCACACGATAGTGTGTCCAAATATCCCAATTAACTATGCATTAATCAGCACTGAGACTAACAGTAAATTTGGAGATCTCCCAATTGCCTAAAGCAAGAACATGCAGCTACAGCAGTTCTGCTCCAAAATTTGGGATCCTGACACCCTACTTATCTATGAAAATTCTGGGTCGGAGAAAATAGGTCACAGCTACATGTGAGATGTATTCCGAGCAGTTCACATCTCTTTCAATATCAATGTTTTATACATTAGAATCGTGAATATAAAGATCAATTACATTGGATCAAATACTCTTTCAGATCACATTCTTCAAGCCATTATTTCAGTGCGAGCTTTCCTATCCTTTTGAAGTTCCACCAGTTTGCTGTTGGTTCTAAGCTTTAGATTCCACTCATCAGTTAAGCAATTAAATAATCTTTGCATTTAATATAGCAGGTGAACGAATATGGAGAATGTGTGAGCTTTTTTTTTCTTGAGACAAGTTAAAATGTTGAATCCTTGATGTAGATCTAAAATCTTTTAACAGTATATGTTTAACTGCCATTAGTTGTCTTCATCACTATTTCCAAATTCTCATTCAGTTCATATTATAGGATAATCAGTTCAAGATCCTGGTCCTCACCTTCAAAGCCCTCCGTGGCATCGCTCCCCCTACCTCTGGGACCTTCTAACTCCCTACTATCCTGCCGACTGTCTCTGCTCAGTGGGCTCCGGTCTGCTTCACGTCCACCCGACTTGCCTGCCCCACCATTGGTGGGTAGGCCTTCTGCCACTCTGCCCCCACCCTCTGGAACTCCATCACACAATCCCTCTGCCTCGCCCCCTCCCTTGCCTCTTTCAAGCCCCTCCTCTTCGACCGTGCTTTCGATTACCCTCTTTCCCCTTCCTGCCCTCCACCCTCCCCAATCCCAGCCCCCAACTTGGGTCCGAAAAACTGAGTGTCCAGCGCCTTGGGAAGTCCTCCTGGAATGAAAGGCACTATACAAATGTAATTTTCTTGTTGTTGTTGCTGTAATCAAGTTTTTTTTTAAGAAACACATCAATTTCACTGACCACTTGGTTTTTTGTGGTTGACCTAGTTCACTCTCAGAAAATGCTCCCAACACACATTAGGATCAACATTAAACCATTTCGTCTCAGCAGTCCAATTGACTATTTTCAGGTGTTGGCCAGGGAACACAATCATAAAGAAACCTACTTCCTCTCTTATTTCACTTTGTAAATTGCACTAGGGAATTGAATACAGCCATTTGGATTAAACGACTTGCCCTGCTTGTCTCATCCTTCAATCAGAGCATCTACACTCAATTACAATACACGATACCATCCTTCATTATTTAAGCAAAGCTTGGGATGGGACTCAATGTGCTATCCACAATACAAAAGTCTTCATTTCTGTAGAACAATCCCATTTTTAGGCTTGAGAGTTAATGAATAGTGGCAGGAGCTGCACAGCACGCTATCAGCATCTAGTGGCAGATATTTAGCACTGCTTAAACTCTACCCCCTCCCCTACGTCTAATTACAGTATTATCTTAACATTAGCAATATTGCTAAAAATGAAATCCTGCAAAACTGTCACCCAGTGGGATTCATCATTACAGACATTGTTCCAGTCAGTTTTCATCATTAATAATCCTTGCATTTGATATAGCACTTTATCACATTAAAACATCTCAAAATACTTGAGTTTTCTGTAAAGTGCAGTGACTATTATGTAAGTAATTGTGGCAGCCAATTTTCACACAGAAATGCCCCGTAAACCAGGAAGTAAACAACCATTTTTTTTCTACTTGGGGGTTATTAGACAGGAAATTGGGAGAAATTCACTTCTCTTTTCGCATTGCCCCATGGAATTTTTAACATCCACATGAACAGGCAGACGGGACCTCGGTTTAACATTTCACCTGAAGTACAGCACCTCTGACAATACAGCACTTACCAGCATTGCATTGGAGTCAGCCTGGACTGAGCTCAAAGTTCTGATATAGGGTGTGAACCCCTAAACCTCTGACAACACATTCTCACTACTGTATAATGATATGGTGGATTGGACTATACTTCACAGGGTAGTTTTCTTCAGTTTGTATGCAAGTGCCTAAAATATGCGTAATAACTCTGCGAATATGTTGCCAAAAGCTGTATTTTAAACACTATGAATTCAAGCAAAACCAGTAACTGTGACTCTTGTATCATGGGAATATTATGACTGTCACATTTTACAAGGAAGATCCTTTGGCAGCCAATCATTTTCCCAAAGGGAGGCAAGAACAACAAATTTGTATTAAGATTCTGTGTCTCTATAACTTACAGAATGTATCTTTTACTTTCAAATGCTTGCAGGATGTGGCTTCAACTACCACAAGAGATGTGCTTTCAAAATCCCAAACAACTGCAGTGGTGTGCGGAAAAGACGCCTTTCAAATGTTTCCCTGACGGGGTTAAGCACCTCACGATCTGTGTCGAATGATCCATCATCAAGCCCCTCAGATGAAGTGTTGCTACTGGTAGGTCGGGTTTTAGAACCCTAAAATCCCTATTAAAATACAACTCCACACTCTTCACAGATACGATTCAGTAAATAGTGTATCCAGGCTAGAGACCCAGTTAGGTGTTTCTTCAAACTATACTTAACTGCAGGGAGTTGTGATATAGAATTATTACCATCTGTAGATTTATGCTCCACACTAAATCTCACACTATGACAGCATATGACATTTTATGATGAACAATATTTCAGTTAGGAAAACTACTTCAGGCATTATTCTCAACAGCTGCTTGGTGTTAAACACAACAAGAACCAGTGATAACCTAAAGGCAGGAAGTCCAACCTCTCCCCTTTAGTGCTGTTAAAGCCTTTGTGCTAAAAATATAAACAGGATTCAACCTCATAAGATTTTCTGATGATCAAGAAATCCTTTTTTTCCTTTTTTAAATATTTTTTCAACTCTTAACCAGTATTGAGACCATTGGCCTTCCACATCTAAACAAACATTTACTTCAACTTACATTTGCTTTCATAAAGGACAGAGAAAAATAAATGAAGTTACTTTACAAGCCTTTGACTTTCCCCTTTGGAAGAGCTCAACTGTTTTATTTTGCATGTAGATGTTCTATACTTGACCATCAACTGTAAAACTGAAGTGTGTGTGTATAGTTGTTTGTTTCCTGGTGTAAAAATGCCTTGCAAATACTTGTTCTGCATGCTACATTAATGAGTTTGAGGATTGGCCTAAACTTCCACAGCTCTGAAGCATTTCTCTGTTGCTTTGTATGTGGTATTAAAATTCAACTGTGGAAATTTTTCCAACCCCTTTGGACCACATGCAATATCTTTGTGCAGTTTTTCATTCTGAAAATATTAGGAAGCAAATCATAACTTTTTCGGGTGTAATATTCCCTTAAAATAATAATAATATGGTCACTCAATCCACGATTGTTTGTGGGACCTGCTATGGGCAACTGGCTGCCGCAAAATATACAGTCAATTGACTTTGCAGTATATTCTGTGAAGCGCTTTGAGACGTCTCGAAGACATGATAAAGGGGGAACTGGGGGGAAGCAGGATGAGTGTGTGCATTCCATTCCAACAATCAATCTTTGGGATTTCCATGTCTAGGTGGGATGCATGAACATTTTAGCTTGGTTTGGATACTCTTAAGCATGGTGATGGGTTTCCGCATGTGTCAGACACCAGCTGACCAAAAAATTGTATTCAATACTGAGAGATAGTTTTGAAACTGTCCGTACTGCAAGATTCCATGGTGAATCTATGCATGAACTAACCATGAAATCCCCTGATTTTCTGAGTTAGGATGTTGCAATATCAGTATATTGCATATGAGCAAAATCTTCTACTATTGAGGAGATACCCTGCTGTGAAATGTGGATTAAGGAGGACCGTGATATTTCTTCTCATGGGACTTTTCAACAATTGTGAGGTGAACTGTGTGTCCATGTATTACACAGCTGTCATCCCTCTCTTCCATTCAAAACTGCACGAAAATAAAGCCAATAACGTGAACAGTTCAAGTGGAATCTGAGAATCAATCAAATGTGAAAATATCATTTAACTCCCCAAACAAACACAAATCCAAAGCAATCCCGTTTACGCTTTTTGAATCATTTCTTGTTTAAAACTCAAATACTTTCCACTTAATGTGGTGTGAACCAATCATTGTTGAAATATTGTTTCATGCCGAGACTTGCAATATCCTTTATCTAAAAGGGGCAACAAGTGGGCCAATATGCAAAACAACCTAGGGAGATAAAGGCAGAGTGAGACCAGGAAGGAGATGTAAATTAACACTGCAGGGATATACTGCTGTAAATTACAAGTGGAGGTACTGTACCTTGTGTTTATCTCTAATTGCTGTTGATGTTTTCACCAGTTCCTGATTTCTCTGGTCAATGTGCTTAATTAAATGAGAGTAATTAACAAGAAACCAAATTTAACCCACAACTGTTAATATTCTCTTCACATATTGAGGTCTAGTTTGTAATATTCATAAATTAGCTAACTGGGATTTCTGAAAGCTGCCAAGGTCCTAAAAGAAGAGCAGTGTCTCCCTACGGCCAGAGCTGATATGTTGTCGCTCGGACCTTTTTTCTCCCCTCGAGAGGCTTCCTGAAATCTTTTGCCAATGTCGCAAATTAGACAGCAAAGTGAAGGTTGCAATTAGCACTTCCCATCCCTTTTGGAATGATCACGCGTTTCGACCCTTAGTATGCAGCTTCCTCCGACCAGTGACTGGCTCATGAGAAGAGATTTGTTACATGAATGCAGATGGTGATATGGTAAAAAGATGCATCTTGTTTTTTCAGTCAATCAACAGTGATGCAATTCACCATTATGCTTTAGTAATGGGAAAAATAACTCATGGCAACCAAGGTGGTCTGAGTGAATGTGGAGCAGTTGACTAGAGCTAACAGCTGAAAAACATGTACAAAAATGAGTAACACAATTAAAGCAATGACTTCACTATTGGGATTGAGTTCCGCTTTACTTTGGCTATAAAATTGGCCAGTCTTGTGGATTTTGTCCCGCACCCCTCCCATTTGCCTAATTTGTGATTTTGACATTAAAACAGCTTTATGGGAAAGCACCACCTAGTTTACAGTCAGTACACCTTCCCTTTCCCTGAGAAACCTATTAAAATGTTTGAGAATTTGGTTTGTTACTTACATTTGAATCCTGACAAATGTTGCTAAGAAATGGCCTCCTTAGGATATAAAAACAGCCATTTCCCTAATCTTGATGCCATAGCCTGTTCACCAAGTGAATAATAACTTAATGGAAAGAAAAATGGCAGGAAACTCTTTCTTAACAAAAACATTTTTTATACTAAGGTGGTCGATGTCTGCAGTTTGCTGCTCTATATTGGCCAAAGTTACCAGCAGACTGAATATATCACTGTGCTCCATGTAACTGAACTTGGCGAACAAATGACATTTTAACTTATGAGTCAGGGTTTTGTATTTAACTGTTTGGGTACAGCACAGAAATCCCAGAAAGCACAAGAGAACAGTTTTATTTATTTTGGAATTCTGTGTTTGGATCAGGGATGAATTCTTCTGTAAACAACAGCAGCCTTATTAAATTATATTTAGATCCCTGCAATTAAATCTTACATCTATGCAAGTGCCAGTTCTGGTTTCCTAACGGACGAATAATACGATTGGGGAGATGTCGACCCCTTAGACCACTTAACATAGTGAAGTACTTCCAGAATTTTTTTTTGCAATGTACAATGTTTCCATCCTTGAAAAGGCCTCTTCTAGTCTAATATTTAAAACTGTGGCTGTCAGAACCCTTTTGATTTAATTTTATGCGTGTTATTATCTTTTCAGTGAGACATTCACTTTGCATTTGGTAAATTTTTGATAATGCCTGAACATTTTGAAGAAGTTAATGGTGAAACAGAGTTTGAGAAAAATCCAGCACAATTGTATCATACAACAGGAGTAGCAGACAAATTGGAAATAATGTTATAGTGTAATACTGTATATGCTTGATGAAATGACCAATATTGATAGTCTTTTTAGAAAGATTTGTCTTCAGATACTGGAGAGTATATGCTTAACGAACAAGCCTATTTGTTTAGGCAGTGAAATACTAACATTTTCTGACTGCATCCTTTAATTAAATCTTCAAAAGTGTGGTTGTAATTTGCACTGAATGTCTAATGCTTCCTATTGGAAAGCTCATGGGATTAGACATAAGAGGTTTGTGTTTACAACAAAATAAAAGCAGCTGTTGGAAAAAAACACTTTTAAAAACCTGTAAAAATGTCTGTGGGATAAATAAATGCAAACTAATACTGTACAAATATAAGAAGCTGGTATAAACCTTTGACCCTCTGCTCGCCTTCCTGAAAATGCCATTATTCTACACAATCAGGAAGTTTGTTTTAAAACCTGTGGATGAAAAGCCAGCTTTTAAAATTGGACAGCTCCAAAGAAGGGAATAATAATAATAATAATCCTTGCATTTGATATAGCGCTTTTCACGTCGGGAGGATGTCCCAAAGCGCTTCACAGGACACACTGTAAAGTGAATTGACTGTATATTTGTGGGCGAACGCGGCAGCCAATTGCGCACAGCAATGTCCCACAAACAGTCGTGGATTGAAAATGACCAATTTATTATTGTTTTTGGTTTTTGGAGGGATTATTATTAGGCCTGTGGAGTAAAGAAACTTGCCCAAGGTTTCGCCCTGCCTGAATACAACTAAGAGAGCCCATCTCATTTTTGGTAACGATGATCTTTGCTGCACTGCAGATTTTAATTACAGCTGTTGGTTAAAGACACAAAGAAAATTAATGCTCCTTCTTTCTGGATCATGAAACGTTTGTCTCATTTCCTTCCACATGTGATAGTTGTGTACAGTAGCCTCCTGTGACTATATGTATCGACTACATTATGCAATGCCACCAGATGGACAAAAGATGTGCACATACAAGCCTATAATATATCTTCTATAGAGGTTTGGATACAGGCCTAGATATTACACAGCAGGAAGCACCATAGTGAGCTTGGGCAGGAATCATTGTGCTAATAATTGGCTCCATCAGTCTTTGCTTAAGTAAGGTGAGGGGGTGGGGGGAAGAGAAGCCATCAGTGAACATAGATGAATCCTTTATCCAATCTTCTCTGCAATAATCTATTGTACATGTACCTCTTATATATCAGATGGCATTACATGGTGAATATAATTAATAGAGGTGTACAAGATTTTAAATGGGATTGAAAAAGAAAACCCAGATCAATACTTTAGGATGCAAGAAGAAAAAAAACAATAGGCAAGAAAATGGAGAAATAAAACGGGGGGGGTGGGGAGTGCAGAAGTCGGTCTTGGAGTGCACGTGCCTAAATGCACAGAGTTTAGCAAATATGATTGGTGAGCTGCAGGCTCAAGTGGTCAGAGGGGGATATGATGTAGTAGCAGTAACAGAGATTTGGCTCAAACAAGGATAGGAATGGGAGCTGAATATTCCTGGCTTTAAT